TTAAGCCACCGGGTCCGGGACGCGAACCGCGGTCGACTACGTGGGAGTCCAGCGACATAGCCATTACGCTAACTGCTGGTTCCCCAGATTTTTACTTTTGAAAAAATGCTGAGAAATTGCAAAACATGCTTCTGTCAATAGTAGGTGGACAGTCAAGCCTAAGACGATCTCTAAAACCATTCCTTTTTTTTTTTTTTTTTTAAGGTTTCTGTCGTAGGGCGTATGCGCTCTGCTGGCCAGAAAGGGAAAATGAGAAATTACCCTCCAGGGGGATGGCCACACCACAGTTCCTTCTCCTCCATTCTCCTCCTGGGATTTTGGACATACCTGCACATGCGCCCGGCAAGGATTTTCAAGCTGCCAGGTTGGGGACTCAAACCGCAGTGGGTCATGTAGGAGTCCAGCACCTTAACCACTATGCTACCTGCTGGCGCTGTCATTCCTTCTTATGTCTTTTCTATAAAACCTTTCTCACCAATGCCACTACCAAATAAAACTACTTTTTAAGTCTAACTTACTTAAGTTTCCAAGACAAATGGACTTGAAAATAAAGGACAAGAAAGATTATGCTCCTCCATAATCCATAGAGCGGATGGCCAGCTCCCGAACAATGAGAGGATAACTCCTATGCCCTAATACCTGAAGCTGAATTATAAAAAAGAAAAGAAAAAAAAAAAGCTTATGTATTGTACTAACTCAGAAAGAGAGGTACCAGCAGATTCCAATATGAGTCTTCCCAGCATCACGCAGCAAATGATAAAACTGTTTCTAATACTCTTCAGTGGCAGAATTCTTCCCCTGGGGAAATATTCTTAGTCACAGATCTTTAAACTTTGAAATTCTACACCAAGTACCACCTATCTGTTATTCTGTTAAGAGTGAAAATTCTGCCTAGTCTAGATCTGGCCGCTCCCTACTGCACTAGACTCCCACATGGCCAACTGCAGTTCAAGTCCCGGACTTGGCAGCTCCTTCCCTCCTTCCCTCTCTTGTAAATGTGAGTGCCCTATAGTAAATTAATAATAAAAATAAAAATAATTTTTAAAAAATGAGTAAAAATTCTGACCCGGGCACAGTGGTGCTGGCAGTCCAATGCCACTGAATGATACTGAGGCCACATGGGAGGTCCAGGTTCAGATCCCTGGCTGACCCAAACATATCAGGCGTGCTCAGTATTCTGACAGGTTGGAAGCCCAGGAAGGGTCAAGGGAATGACTCTGTGAAGGGGATCCTCCAACTTGCGAAAGGAAGAAACAGAATTTTTTAACTCTGAAATTTAACATCTAAAAGTGTTTGATAAATGAAAAACCACATATCATGAACAAAATCTTTACTACCGTAAATGCTATAAAAAGCATAAAAATATCTAAGGGGGGAGGTGGTAGGAAATACAGGTATCTTATGAAAATGTCAATATTTAAGAGGAAGGTCGTAAAAAAGATTTGAAAACCTCACAACAGAGAAGCTAATTATGTGTATTTAGTGTTAAATTAACACTACCTCGTGTTAAAAAAAAAAATCACACTTTTACTAATTCACAGAACGAAACCATACTTACAGTTATGTGAACACTGAGGAATGATCATTGCAATGTTGAAATATTCAAAGCAGATTCCACACCGCAGCAAATCATCTATTTTCTGAAATGCAAAAATATATACGTAGCAGAAAGACATCAAGATGGACCATCTGTCACAGAGTTTTTTCTCTGTCACCTAAACAGAAATCCTTTTTTTTTTTTTTTTTTTTTTTGGTCAAATATACAAACTCAAAAGCTAGCTCCAGAAAAACCGCAAGGGATTTTGATAAATGCAGGAAAACCTCCCCGGATGACTCTCGCACATTCGAATCTCAGGGTACCCAAGAAAATGGTACCTTTACTTTTGACAGAAAAGGTGGCACTTACAAAGTCCTGTGCCCGACTGTCAGCCCTTGCCAAAAAGGATACTGTATTCCTCCTCCACTCTTCCTGTGTTTCCAGCTGTTGACCAAAGCCTTCTCCTCCTCAAACCCTGCCCTGTGAACTACAATCACCGCACAGGTGAAGAACCAAATCAGAGAATACTGAAGCCAAACATTAGAAATGTTCCACTGAAGGGACCAGCAGATGGCGTAATGGTTACATCGCTGGACTCCCACATGGCAGACTGCCGTTCAAGTCCTGGACCCAGCAGCTTGAAACTCATGCCAGGTGCATGTACGTGCGTGCCCAAAATCCCTAGAGGAGAAGGGAATGCAGTGCGCTCGCCAGACAGACAGAGAGAGATAGAGAGACAGAAAGCGAGAAATCACCCCCCAGGGGGAATGGCCACGCCACAGTCCCTTCTCCTCCATTCTCCTCTCGGGATCTTGGGCACGCACGCACACGCGCCTGGCGTGAGTTTTAAGCCACCAGGTCCGGGACACGAACCGCGGTCGACAACGTGGGAGTCCAGCGACATAGCCATTACGCTAACTGCTGGTTCCCAGTCAGAGTTGCTTTTGAAAGAGCCCATTCTTTGTTTTTGGAGGAGTTCTAGCAAAAATTAGATAAGAAATTAGTAGATGTGTTATAAAAGGGGAAAAACACTGCAGGGGGCTGCCTTTCTAACCTAAGGTTCCACGATTCTCTTGTGAACTAAACACAGGCTCCATGAGTTGCCTGGTTGAACACTCTTTGGTCCCAAACCCTATCCTCTGTCCTGAAGTTAGCCACAAAAGCCAGGCAAGACACAGATCATGTCCCTAAATAACACGTGGGAATAACACGCATCCACAGACGACACAGGAGCTTTGCAGCCCGCGGAGCTCTTCAACTTCCTTTATCCAAGTCAATCTCCATGACGACAAATAAAAAGGGGAGAAAAGCATTTTCATATGGTAAAGACTAATAATAATAGTAAAGATATTATTCATTGATTGCTTGCTACTTTCAATTAGCAAATAATTTCTGAGCATCCACCTTGAGGCCACCACTGTGTGAAACAAAGTGAATAAACCAGCAGGATCTCTACCCACATACATCCACTCATTTTTTTTTTAAATATATTTAATTTTATTCTTTTTTTAATTTGCTATCGGGCACATCTGTTCACCAGAGACAGAGAGGGAAAGTGAGAAAGCAAGCTGCCAGGTCCAGGACTAGAACCACAGGTGACCATGTGGGAGTCCAGGGCACCACTTGCTGGCTGCATACAGCAACTCATTTAACCAACACTATAAACTATTTCTTTTCTCTCTTGTCTTAGTCAAGGAAACTCAGGCACAGGGAGGTTAAGTAACTGACTCAAGACCGCACAGTTAAGAGGCAGAGACCAGATTTGACCACTGGAACTCAAATCTATGCTCTTCCCCACGGCCTCTTGGTGCCAAGGCCAACACTTCAAAACCCCAGCTTTCCTGGACTGCTCCAAATGTCAACTGAGGACCAGGGGGACAACCTGAGTTCTCAAACACTGTAGATGACAGCCAAAAGAACAATGCCTTCTAATTACTTTGGCCTCCCCACATCCCTCACTTAATCTTCAAAGCCTACTGTAGTCCATGGGACAGATACCCTAATCCCCAAGTTTACCCAACTAAGAAACAGAAGGGGAAAGTTATCTTGTTCATAGTGATGAGAAAAATTAGAGCAAGAAGAAAAAACAAGCAGTCGATTCTTAGCACAGCGAAGTCCATCTGCTCTTGAGTAAACCCAGCAAGAATCCCAGGCCCACCACTTCAGTAGGTGAAAACTGACATGCCTTGCCAATAACAAAGCGGTCCCCAAAATAAGTGTTATTTCAGTGAAGAAATTCAATGACATGAAAGCCGAGTGCTGAGCCTCAGTGCGGATCTGTTTGAGAGAGGGGGGAGCATGTGTTCGGAGTTACTATCCGTCCAGGAGGAATTCGGGCCGCAGGTTAAGACAATCCAGCATTAGGCGTCTTGAGGGTAATTAGAATGGGAGCGATGTAATGGAGAACACCTGCTTCGCTGCGTGATTACATAAATGCTGTCTGATGCAGCGTCCACCCCAAATCATGTCTGACGTCACTGCGTACACCCTGGCTGGCACACAGGAAGCCCTCAGAAAGGGCTAGCTGTCACGGTCGATGCTGTTTTCCGCGATGCCATTGTTACTCCAGCTACTGAACTGGGACCACCTGGTTCCATTAGACCACCAACCCCAACTCACCACGAGGGACCGAGCCTGACCTCCATCACTTCTCGGGGAAGGAAACCGAGGGCCAGCGCGGCACGGTCAGCAATTGGCACATCAGAGCCGGGTGTCTTGGCCCCGCACCTGGTCCTTTCTCCTCCTTAATGCGGGGCTGGCCGCCCGGGGACATCCACGACCCCCAACCTCTCCAAAGCACTCACCTTCATGACTGCCAGGCCTGGAGGCCACCGAGGATCGGCCAGAGAGTCCATGGTCGCTGCTGAGGACGCCGGGGGTCTCCGACCCGCTGGACTCCCGCGCTCCACTACCACTCTAAATTCCCCGCGCTACAGTGCTACGTCAGCAGGCCGCGACGCGCCTGGGGCGTGCGCGGAGCCTGCCGGGAGTTGTAGTACGTGGGCGGAGCGCTACTAAAGGCATTTACACTGCGCACGCGCCAGATTTTGCCGGGCCCCTCAAGATAGAAGAGGGTCGGACAGGGGCTAAAAAGTCGAGATCTCGTCGCGTATTAGAAGGGACAGGCAGGAATGACACTGAATCCAGGCCTTGCCAGATGAAGTCCAGGCACGAACCTAGATCTTTTAACCTCTAATCAAAAGTGATCACCCATTGATACTGAAACTGAGCAGGGGCTCCATAAAAAAGGCTGGACCCTTAGTTTCTCATTCTATTGAGAAGAAAAATGGAAATTTCACAAACTGAAAATTAGTAAGAGCTGTGGTAAAAGTAAGGTATCTTTCTAAGCTCTTGGAATGAAAGGCTCATTTACATTAATTTTTTTTTTTTAATTTTTGCCATAGGACATGTGAACTCACTGGAGAGACAGAGAGGGAAAGTGAGAACCCACCCAGTGTTTTCGTGCTGCTGGGTCCAGGACTCAAATCATGTAGTTAACCATGTGGGATCCAGCTACCTTAACCACCATGCTTTGGACTGGCCCAGGTCATTTCCACCCCAGTGGAGTGCTCTGGGCCTGGGCAGCCAGATCCAGCAGGGCTGACTGCTTTTCAAATCCCTGTCCTGGGGGAATCCTGAGAGACAAGTGCGTGTGTGCCCAAGGTCTTGACAGAATCCAGAGAAGGGGAAGGATTGTGACATATGCTTTTGCTTGCTCACTCTCTCGCTTGCTCTTTTTATCTCTCTTGTGAGTACACATACCCTCTTGTAATAAATAAATAGTAATAGCTCAAGGTAGTCGTTATTCCTCTTCTCCTGCAATGCTCCCAAAACTCCTGATGTAATGTTGTCCATGTTCTATTTTACTGAAACTGTAAGAATTCTTCCCAAAGAATTTTAACCTCTTTTTACCTGCCCTTCGCCTTGATACAGGAAATTAGTTTATTGGGCCAGCAGGTGGCATAATGGTTAAGGTACTGGACTCTCACATGGTCCAGCATGGTTTGAGTCCTGGACTCAGGGGCTTGTTACTCACATTGGGTGCATGTATGTGTGTGCCCAGAATTCCAAGAGGAGAATGAAGAAGGGATTGTGGTATGGCCATTCCCCTGGGGGGTGATTTCTTACTTTCTCTCTCTCTCTCTCCATCTTTCTCTGTCTCTTTGGTGAGTGCACGCACCTATAGCAAAAAAATAAAAAATAGTTTCTTAGCTATAGGAATTAGGGAATATTGAGATGGTAAAATTAAATCTCCCACTCAAAGGAAAAGATTATAATTCATATTTTAAGATGTTTGGCAGGACGGCAATTGCTGACTGTGAGCATACCCCAATCTGAATGATGCCTGAAACCTGTGATTTGTATTAAAGCCCCACCTGTCAAGACTCGACTTAGGGACCAGCAGTTGACTTAATGGCTATGTCGCTGGACTCCCACATAGTTGACCGCTGTTCGCGTCCTGGACCCGGGGGCTTAAACTCACGCTGGGCGCGTGTGCGTGCGTGCCCAAGATCCCAAGAGGAGCATGGAGGAGAAGGGATTGCGGCTTGGCCATCTTCCCCTGGGGCTTTCTCGCTTTCTGTCTCTCTGTCTGTCTGGCGAGCGCTCACGCCCTATAGCAAAAACCTCTCAAAAAAAAAAAAAAAAAGCCTCCACTTAAAGCCACACCCAATCCACGAGAATGTCTTGCCCTCTCGAACTGATCTTCATGCTCACCTTGCACCTGAGACCCCCCTACCCTTAATTTTAACGTAAACGGCATGTGTAGACTTCAGGGAGACCAGGCTTTTTCCATACCAGCTGCCGGCTTCCCTTGCTTTGTAGCAAGCAAGCTGTACTTTCTCCTATCATACGTCATGGTCACAGTTTGGTTGTGGCGTCTGGGCCAGAGAAATTGGATTGACAGCGCCTGATCGAGATGACTGAGCAGACAAGTCCGCAGAACCGAGCTGAGCCTAGTAGGGCTCCAACGGGAAGATTGGAGTGGGGAGGGGTGGGGTTAGATGCCTCAGCCAATCAGAAAGAGGCATGCAAACGAACTTCAGGGGCATGCAAATGACCTCCAGGGCGCAGAGAGTGACGTTGGACAGATCTGGATACAGGGGGGCCGGGTGGCCTTGGAGAGATCAGAGAATTGAGACTAAGACCTGGTCCCTAGCCTGAGTGCACCTGCAATCGTTTTATTAGGTTCAAGTGACAAATGGCTGGGAAGGTGAGAGAGGAAGAGAGGAGATGCGGAAAAATGAGAAAGCATGGGGAAGGAGGGAGGCAGAAAAAAAGAAACACACTCTTTTCATTCAGCTGTGAAGGCGGATTTGGAAGCAGGCATTGCGTGCTGGTCCTGGGTTTAAATGCATACTCCCCACCTATGGCGAGCCTCCAGGACAGCACTCCCGGCGGAATTCCTCCACCATCTGCTCCGGGAGGCTGAATGAATAAGCCCACATTCCCATCCACCTTTCTCTCCCAGCCGCCTTCAGCAGCACCCAGGGAGAGAGATACCACTAAGCCCACCTCCGTGTCCAGGATGTGAAGTTCAAAGCCCACTCTGAGCTAGGACAGGCTCCCAACCCCTCAGGACATACCTGTCCCAGGAGCCATTCTCCTCCAACAAGCTGCTGTTTTCACAGATGTTCTCCTTGTATTCGATCAATAACGAGACTGTACTTCCTTACTCAAGAGTGAAAACAAAGTGTTCTGTAGAAACAGGGCAGGCTAGTGCTCCGTGGGATCTCTCACAGAGTATCTGGGAGGGGGCAGCTAGATAAAACACAGGGTGGCCAGTACATCTGAATTTCACAGAGGTAGCAAACACGTTTTGGAGTGTCAGTGTTGTAGTCCAGTGTGTTGCTGATACCTGAGCCTGGGTAGTTTACAAGAAAGGTTTATTTAGCTCACGGTTTTGAAGAGCCCAGGTCAAGAGGTCATGTCTGGTGGGGGTCTTCTCCTTGGTGGGGTCCCGAGGTGACACGAGGCATCGCATGGCCAGAGCTGTGTGAGCACAGATCAGAGTACACCAGCGTCCAGGTCTGTGTCTCCTTACAAACACGTGCGTATCCAATCACAGGGCCCCAGCCTGATCCTCATCACCTCCCATGGGCCCCACCTGTCAACACCATCCGGACGTTCCCACCTACTTAATCCCGTTACAATGGCAGTTAAGTTTCCAGTGCGAGAACTTTCGGGGGACACATTCAAACCAGAGCAGGTCACATGTCGCCAGTGCTGCACACAATGTACTCACACTGCAAGATGAGTCAGCGTTTACCTGAATTTTTTTTTTTTTTAACTAGGCATCCCGTATTTTTATTCGCCATCTCTGACGATCTTAATCAAGGAAACAGTCTCCCAAGTGATGCTGGGGCCCAGCCTGGATTAAATCTCATGGCATCGGTGTGGACCCAGCAGGCACAGGGAGGTCCTGCCTTTGCTTTCTCAGGTGGGGCCAGGTGCCCCGCCCCCCAACACTGCGACACCACCCGCCCTAGAGTTCGAGTTCTGATCCATGGTCATTGGGCAAAGTATCAAAACTCTGTGCCTTAATATCTTCATCCGTTGAGGGGAGCGAGCTCTGCCTTTCACAGCTGCCGTGGTAATAAATGCGTTACGTAAGTGAAGTGCCCAGAACAGTGCCTGGCGGCTCATGAGCATGCGTAGGGCACGGCTGTCATCGTTATGACGCTGCCGTCAGCGTGGGGGGGCTGGGGGAGCCCTTGGGGTTCAGGCAGGTGTGTGGCACGCTCTGATTTATATGGTCACTCTGGCTGCTGGATGAAGAAGAGATTTTAGTAGGAAAAAAAATAGAAGCACCCACAGGTGCCAGGTGACAAGGGACTGGACCCCGGGATGCAGCCAGAGGGGGTATGCACTGTGGACCCCAGTTCTTGGAACTGCATGGTTCCTACGCCCACGCCCTGATCTTAGCTCCTCCTGGACATCGACTCTGCCTTGTTTTCACCAGGCCTGCAGGGCCAGCCGGGCCTAATAAACAGACAAACCACGCCCACTGCCTGCTCCCCTGCGTGTCGGGCCGTCACCCCTGGGAGCTTCTCCCCTGGGTCAGTTACCTGCTTGCCACCACAGCCTCTCCTTGGGAGGGGCCCCAACCCTTCCTACTGATCCTTCCAACAAGTGAGCACCCAGTCTATGCCCAGGCAAGGTGACAAGCAATAAATAAGACCGAGAATATCCAGCCCAAGCCAAAGTCTGCAGACGGGAAGAGCTGTGAGGAAGAATTTTAAGGGAGGGGCTCTATTAGTGCAGACTCTTGGTTATAAGTATTGTGTCAAAACGGCCTTAGAAGGGGGGAGAATGGAGTGTGTTAGCTCGTGCAACTGAAAAGTCCGGGAGTTGGCATTCAGGTGTGGCTTGATCTAGGTGTCATCAGATGGGTCTCTCTCTTTCTTGTCCGTCTCCTATCTGAATGTTGTATATCTGCTTTCCTCGGTGTTGGCGAAATGCTCAGGCAGGCCCCTCCCCTGCGTGGCAAACATGGCCTCCAGAAGTTTCAGGCCTAAATGCTACAAGCAAAGCTGCCGCAGCAGAAAGCAGATACCCCACTCCTAGTGGTCCCCAGCGTAAATACCAAGGATGAGTCTTATTGGCCAGGATTGGGTCACATGCCCACTCTTGACCAATCGCTATGCTTAAAATGGTCGCGGTATGTGTGTGGGCGTGGGCTGAGACACCCCGGATGAGCTGGGGTGCTGTGTACAGAGAAGAGGGACTGGCTGCCTGTAAGCAGGCGGATGCGAAAGTGCTGGCAAGTTCTCCCCTTTCCTACGTCCCTTTCCTACGTCCGCATCTCCTTCCAGGGTGACACCTTCCGTCAGCAGGAGGGTCCCTTTCTCCGCCCCTGGAATCTGGGCTTCCCTGTGCGACTGGCTTTGGACATTAATGCAAGTGACGCCAGCAGAGGCCC